TTATGTTTTTTATCATCCTTTGTACGTTTCCGCAGAAATATTACACACACGTTAATATTCAATGTTAGTTGAAGAAAAGACGGCTATTTTAATTCTAAATAGTATCTTTAAACATGGTTACACACGCCACTTAGACATTACATCTAGGAACACAGATAACATTGCATGGACGATTATTGTAAACATATATTTGAATAAACTTACATGAGCTGATAAACAAAACAATTAATAATTTGGCTACTATGTTATATATATAGAGAGAAAGAAAGAAAGGGGAGAAAGAAATGTAATTTGAAAAACAAGAGCCGAGACTGAGGTGGGTGATGGTGTTCTGTAACTAGCATATCATAAGACGAGTTGTTGCACGAAAACCCCCATTATTCACTCTACTACGGATATTACCCGAGGTAGAGAAATGCTACTACGAAAGCTGCAAAGACAAAACTTTCTCTTGATTATATTATAGTATAAGCAAAACAAGAATTAAAATTACATTACATAGTACAAAAAAACGGTCTGCTATAAACAGGGCTGGAATTCTACGGAAATTCGTCTGCTAAACGTAAACAAAAGACGACCGACGGGGTGGAGACGCAACTTCGATTTTTTTTCCCGATAGCTGTAATTTTGTAATCTTTAATGACTACAGATGGTTTGCTGCAAATGAAAATATCTGAAGCAATATTGATATATTTCCCAATGTTGAAATAAAATAATCAAAATTGCTGAAACCATCCTGGTATGAACCAATAATATAATGTGGCAGACCGAACGTCATCACAACGGAAATTACATCCTAAGACACTTCCACTGGGTCTTCCAGCTGGGCTTCACCAAAGGCAGAGCCACAGTCCCATATAGTGACTTTACACCTTCAGTCCTGCAACACACTCACTGCGAATAGTCGTATACTTTTTAGTTAAATCGAGTTTACATGTTCACTGTTGCATTTTTTAAAGTTATACATCTAATACATTTTCTGTAAAGAGGTGCGGGTGCATTTCATGTTGTTGAATAGTGTTACATTATTACGTATCTATTGTATAGTGTTTATACAGTGAAAGGAACAAAAAATTAACGCAGAAATCCTAAGATAATCACTATCTGACCCTACACACTGTTATTGTAATAAACTATTCATCCGTTTATGATAGTGTATGATTCCAATTCATTATTTACATACGTTTTCTTTATCACCTACAGCAAAGCGGTCAGCCCTGGCTATATTACCAAAATATGTCTGCTACTCGAAAAAAGATTTTTGACGCTTTCCCGGAAACCTATTTAGACTGGAGTGGAATAAAGAGCAATGGTAAGAGAAAATATGGTATTAGAAATGCAACCCCACACCTAATTTAAAGAATCTGAGCGTATCGTGTGGTAGAACACATCATTCTATGATAGTTTTCTTTTATACCAATTTCTGCGCAAATTGATAATAACGGAGTTAGAGAGGATATAAAATCCACGATTTCCAGGAGCCGCGGTAACCTTCCGCCTCCAACGCTGCGACAAAATGACAAAAAGTCGTTAAGAGCGACGAGAAATCGGACGGATTTGTAGCGGATGACGTATGCGAGGGAAATCAAATGAGCCAATTAGATTCGTGCGTGAACATCGACACTCAATAGAATAGATCACGTGACAATAGAAGCTGGGCCTAGGAGAAGACTGTTGAAATTCAAATCAGTTCCATCATGGCCAGACAGTGTGTAGGTTGTGAGAAAAATTATTTCGATTTCACTGGGAAACATCAGCAAAAAAACGAAGCAAGCTTACTAAATCTACATCACGGTGTACTGCTAGTGGAAGTACGATGCCCGCACTGTAAGACATCGTATCATTACAGAAATGACATACACAGTGGGTTGTAGTGCATGGAAAGGATTCAAATACAAAACGAAGAAAGCAGTGTAACTTTGCTGTAAGCGAACACAATTCCCGCAGCAACGACCTTGTAATACCCCGACGATCCCAGTGAACCGCAGCCTGGCCCGTCTGGAGTTAAAGCTGAAGGTAAGATGTGGTTCAAACTGTTCCTGAGTCTGGGCTCTCTCCTGTCGGAACATACGAGGTGAAGATTTTGCAGACCAGACGAGGATGGAGGGGGGGGGGGGGGAGCGGTAGCCCCCCTAAAAAGGGGTATAAGGGGGCGAAGACCCCTACATTTACCGAAAATGTGTCAGATACCTGGTTTGTCCGGGCTCTATCCTGCCGGATCATACGAGGTGAAGATTTTGTAGACCAGGCGGTGGGTTTAAGGGGGCGGAGCCCCCTATACAACCTAGAAATGTGTACTTTGCTTACTAGTATTCTACCGATATTTTTCAAAATTCCCAGATATGAAGACCTATCATGCCCTCCCCAGCTATCGAGACGATATCGAGAAAGCTTCGGAAAATTACTCTATTCACCCAAAAAATGGTATGGGGTTGCATCTCCAAATTTACCGAAAATATATCGCACAGCATTTGGGTACTTAAAATAACCTGGAAACGGCACAAAAAGAACAAAAATGTGCATCGGAATCGTGTGCGAATAGGCTGTTTCAAATCCTTAGAACATTAGTTCGATCATCAGTAACAAAAACTTAGAATTGTTTGTTTCATGCTTTTACTTTTTATACATATTGAAAGTATCTTGGCTCATCTTTTATCTAAATTTCTAGTTTCTTTATATTTTCCACTATGTTGATAACACGGAAAGGAATGGTTCACTTGCCCTAAAAACTATCCCATATATAAGAACTCTCCGTTTTATTCCATTCAAAACACTTTCCTTCAGTGAGGGCCTTGCACTTTTTCCGTCACATTTTGGGTTTCCGTTTGAATTTGACGCTTTCTACAAATATCCGTCGACTAATTTCCGTCTTGATCTGGTGTTACGGTGATAAAGAACTAAACATTTTATACTGAGAAATTAGAAGCTAGTGTATGAGAATGTTTGTGTGATTCCCGTGACCTCACTTCTTGTTTCCATGGACGCTATGTATGCTATCTTGTTAGTGTGAGAAGTTCAGACCATTTGCAAACGGAAAGCTCAGACTGAAACGTAAAAATAGACGGAACAGTGCTAGTGTGATAGGCCCTTATATATTAGGGCCACGGAAGGTAGCAGCCCTTTCAGAGGCGGTCACAAGACACTCGATACGGCCAGGAGGCATGTAGGCCTATACAACCGCCGGGACAAGTCTGGGTTTTGCTTTTTGAGTTGTCAAGTTATCGAGAAGTGGATTTGTTTAAAAGTTTTGTGCTCTGTGAAATAAAACTGGAAACCTCGTGCCACGCTCTCTTTAATCTATCGGGGCGACACCAAGCCTTTTTTCCGTACACCTGTCTGAGTAACTGCCTCTCCATTTAATTTTTGTGCTGCTATGTAAGCATAATTTATCTGTCCTGTTTACGTTCGTCGAACTAAATCACCGGGTGTCAGCAGTAATTGACTTGTCTAACATAGAATATTTTAGTCATAGCTGCATTCAACTCTGTTCTCTCAAAGAAAACTTCTTTTGCGGGGTAACATGATTAAATTTGACATAAATGGGCGGGAGGGGAGAAAAGCATACATACTCTCTCACAAACATACGCGCGCACACACACACACACGAACAAACGCGAACACAAACACACACACACACAACTACGATACACACACACACACACACAACTACGATACACATACACGCACATAAACTCACCACATATACACACAAATACCCACAGTCGCATACACATTAATCTCAACCTATACAAAATAGCGTTGCATTTGGTGGATGTTCGAAAATTAATTCGAAACAGGCTCAAAGAGAGTTTTGACCGTGGCTGTACGATGTTTAACAAACACACAAACAAACATATACACATAAAAAGAAGATTGATGGCGAGTGAAAAACAAAAGACAGAGATAAAGAGATAAATTCGTAAAAAAAAGTCCTCCACTCGTGTAAACGGAATAAGCCACGAAAAAGCTACTAAAATTATATTATTAAAGACTCATGCTGCATAGCCATAGGTAATGACTGCCTGTCTCTGTGCATCTTTTTATTCCTTTTTTGCTGTCACTACACCATCATTTCTTACATTTTATTTGTATTTATGTGTCAGTCTTTTTTCTGTATGTCCCAGGCAGACAAGAACAAAGCACAAAAACGTAAGTATATAGCTAACCTTTTCCCACTAAACTATTGAAAAAAGGGAAAAAATTATCTTCAGTTATTTTATATTCTACAATTCCGTGAAGGAAGGTCGCTGCTGCTATTAATGTCATTTTTAAACTGACTGACTTTGCGTATTTCGATTCATAATCACCAGTGTGACTTAGACAACACGTTTGTAACAAAATGATTAAAATATGGTATTTGATGTATATCTGAAATAAATCGCAGACAATAAGCAATGGAAAAAAAATCGTTTAAATTGCAGTGCCTGGTATTCAGTATACCTTGAGAGTTCTTTCACCAAAGGACATTAATCAAGATAGCCCTTTCCACTCCGTCTTTGCTCTCTCGATTCGCAAAACCCTCTCTCCTCTTTCATGCTTTTCTTTTGCTCACTAAGATGAAATATCATTAAACAAATCCTAGCGACACTCTCCGATTTCCAAAGCGAGTCTTTCTGCAACTCTGGGAAAAGGGTAAGCATGGTGAGAGAGAAATTCGCTTTGAGACAAGGGCGCTCTTGCTCTCTTAAATCAAGGGAAAGGTTTCAGCGAAATCTTTATCTTTTAGAATTACATCGCCAATCAATCCATTTATTATTACTATGTAATTCGGTATCAGTTTTTGCATCTTGCAATTGTGCGTGTGTTTGTGTGTATATATATATATATATATATATATATATATATATATATATATATATATATATATATGTATATATATAATATATATATATATATATAATATATATATATATATATATATATATATATATATATATATATATATATATATATATATATATATATATATATATATATATAATATATATATATAATATATA